GCAGGAGGGAGTCCCATGAAGACTTCTCTTCATGGTCCACCACCACTCCCCGTCTCTATGTGTCTCTGTTCTCTCTATCTCTCTGTCTCTCTGTCTCTCTCTCTCTCTTTCCTCTGACAATTCTACTCTCCCAAGATAAGAAATTCTGTCACCCTCGTTCCCACTACCCAGACTCTTCTTGCATCCTGTGTGCTCTAGGAGTCTTAGTCCTTGACTGGATGCTGATGGAGATGCTTCAACTCAGGTGTTGCTGACTATGGGGTAGGGGACAGAATTTGGATTCTAGTCAATGAGAGAAAGCAAAAGTGATGGCTCCATTTAATTTTTGTATACTTATTACCTAGAATTATGGTTTAGTTTCTTGCTGATTTGTCCAGGATAAGTATTCACTTTTTGAGATGACAACACAATTTAATCTTACAGGATGACAAGATATTCCTTTTGATATCAAGGCTTTCACCCTGCTGCTTGTGAAAACACTATCTTAATAGCCTTAATAACATGGTCTGCTGGCTGTAAGTGGCTCTTTTTGCCATTCCCAGAGTCAGATGCAGCTTTAGGAGACAGAGAGCTGGGATTTTTTTTCTTCATTAATTATCATATCCCTTGCAGATAGAAAAGGGCTAAGCATAAAGTCTAGCTCAATGTCAATTGACTGAAATAATGGATTTGTTTATCCTCCAAAATTTGCATCCTGCCCTCCACTCATTAGAAGAAGGAACTTTTTAATTCATCCTGCAATACATGCGCATGAGCGTACATGTGTGGACACATACACACACACACACACACACACACACAACACACGTGCCCACACACAGAGTTTGGGTATTTCTTTGCAGGGTAACAGGCCAGAAGTTCTTAGGTTCAGGCTACTTTTCACTCTTGGAGACCATTGGTTGGATGCAGAGCAGCGCAACATTTGCTTTACGGTTGAAGGCGAGCATATCTAAGGAAGCAATGGAGGAGGTCTGTTATCAGTGTCTGTGAAATAAAGGCTGACGAATCTGAAATTCTCTTGAGCTTTCCCTTAGGCACTTGAAATAGTCTGTGAACCTCCAGTTCTTATGTCTTGTGTTTAAGGCAGGAAGAAGAAGGAAGTTCTGATTAGAAGGAGGAAGTGCTGTGGAAACAAAGTGGGGAGGATTGGAAGTTCCAGAGCAGGGGCATTTCCTGTTTTAAATTGGATGTCCAGGGCAGGGCTCTTTTATGTTGTAGCTTCATCTGACTTTTACTAGTATAGTTCTATTTTTTCTAGAAAAAGTCAGTCTGGCTTTTCTCATAGTTAGGGACCCTCACACTTTTCTCAGATCTAGGTAAAAGCCATGAGAGTTTTTTCATTCAGTTTCTCTATATTTCAATGAGTAGCAATTCTCTGTTTTCAAAGCTAGAATTTATATGTTATTTTGTTCCAGATTGCAGAAGAGAGCATATTAGACAGCGAAATCATTCAAGATTAAAAAAAAATAAATCCATTCTCACCAGCAGTTTTAATTTGATTAGTTTCCATCAACATATCCCTTATCTAAATATTTCTGCATTAAATAATTTTAAAATAGAAAAGCTACTGTGAAATAGAGGTACAGCTTAAGGATTTCCAGCCATTGACTTCATGCTAGTTTTATGCTTACCCATGATCTAAAATTTTGATTTTCTGAGTATTCTATTTTCCTAAGAAGGTGGTACTATGTAAAGATGATTACTCAGTTGCAAGGCTAAGTGTTGCCAATATTTCACATAAATATTTATTCCTTATTTGTTATATTCCATCTCTTTTTATCAACTCCAGCTGGGACAGCCCTTATCTTGCATCCTATTCTTATCGTCCCCTGTAGTCACATTAAGTCAGAGCTAGGTTCCTAGTTCCATCTTACCTGTTCTGTTCTGATTAAGTAACCAGTTGCCCCTGCTGAATCCTTCTAAGCAGAGTAGTTGAGACTTTTGGGTAATTCATTCTTCTCTGAGAAGATCAAAAGCAATTCTCACATAAATCCAAAGCCATATTATTACCCCAGTTTGCTTCGTCCTTCATTTAATGCACACTGAGGGAATGTGTCTAAATACACTCTTTTTTCTTAGTGTTTCTTATTAAGAATATTCTTCCTTTTTTAACCCTAGTAATAAGTCAGGACTACTTGTATGTTTTGAAGTAATTTGGAATTTGCATTTAGAGATAAAAACCAAAGTAATTCAAGTTCTGCTCTATTTTTCTGGTGATGAGTAATTTTGTAAAAATTAGACTACTCTTCAAGTCTTCAATTATCTACGTGTTACTGATAGAAAAAAGCCATTGCTATTTCAATAGGTCATAGAGAAGGCAGTTGAGGAATTCACTGGCAAACTTTGGATGTTGCTTTTTACAGTATTAAAATGTGAAATGTAGGTGAGTCATTGTCAGATTATTGCTACAAAAATATAATACTCTCAAATGATTTTTATATAAGATTTCAAATGGGGTTAAACAAAAGACTTCTGAGGAGAGAGACACACACATAAATCAACACAGTGTCCATATGTAGTGTTATGTGGGGGAATTCTTGTATAGCATTAATCCCTCTTGGAATGTACTGAATTTACGGAATGTGGAACATTTTTGTTGGAGCCTGTGTATTAATTCTTAATATCACCATCACCTGACTGAGACCAGAGTTTGCTCCAATATTTACTATGGGACTATAATACTATCAACACAACAATATGTCATATGGAATTATTAGCAGAGAAAAACTATTAGCCAGCCAATGCAAAGGTTGAACCCTTGAATGAAAGTTTATTGACAGAATTACTGTTTGTTAAATTCTTTCCCAGGTACTGGGGATACAAAGATGAGTAAACACAGTCCCTACTTTCAAGAAATTTACAGTCCGGGCCAAAAATTGCTGATATAAGGCATGTGCTTCAGTGTTTCATTCAGAGCAGCATGACACTTTTTTCATCCAAATCTAGATGCTCAGTGGATACACTCTTCCACACAGCTTTTTAGGAAGCCATTACCAAAATTATTGGTAATACAATACTATAGAATACATGTGTTAAACTCTCACCTGCAGGGACACTGTGATATTGGCAGTGACTGTTCCACACTGAGACTTGTTTGGTTTATTTATTAAAGTCTACAGTATTTAAAAATCAAACATAGCTTTAGTTAAAACACTAAGCTGAATTAGTCATGTCCATTCAGATATAATCTGAACTATTGAAAAGATCAATGTCCAGAAAGTTTATTCTGTATAAATTGCACATTAGTCTTAAGTAGAGTATCTTTTTCTTTTTCTTACTTTTTTCTTTCTTTTTTTTAAAATTTTGATTGTTTGATGTGAAATGTTTTTGAATGCAGATAGTAAATAAACTTTGATCTTCTTCCCGCTCCCCAAAGATAATGCTAATACTATGTTATCACTAATAAGAACTAATGGTGATGGGGCTGACTTTGTAGCCAGGGAGCTATGATGCCCTTTCTAAGTATTACCTAATGTAATTTCCACAACAGGTCCAATAGGCAAGTAATATTATTCCCATTTTAAAGATAAGAAAATTAAAGCTTAGAAAGACTAACCAACTTGCCTACATTGACATGGCTAGTAAGCTTTAAAGCCAAGGTTTTAACCCAGGCGGTCTGAATCAATTGTGTTCTGTTTACATTTTCTAATACTGCCTCTTATATTCCATCTCTAATTAAGTCCTTCAACTGTTTTAATGTTAAATTCCTCTTTAAAAAAATTTTTTTTTCCTGAAAACAAAAGCAATTAAATTCCTTTGCTATATATAATTTTTTTAGATTTTCTTTTTCAAACATATGTCTTTCAGTTTAAACCTGAAAGACATATGTTTGAAAAAGAAAATCTAAAAAAATTATATATAGCAAGTTTTACTAAACAAATATTCAAGTATTACTAAACAAATACTAAGTATTACTAAACAAATATTTGTTTACTAAACAAATATTCAAGTATTACTAAACAAATACTAAGTTCCAAGCTTAGGGCTAGACATTTGGGAAATAGCAGTGAATAAGATAAAGAAGTTTTCCACCTCTTGGACCTGATATTCTGAGCCTTTCTGAATAAGTGTCCTGGTCTTTAACTCTAGAATTCTGTCCTGGAGACTTTATTCTGTGAATTTTAGAAAATAGGGCACAAGAGACACTGTTCTCAGGAGACTCGTGCCAGTGGGATTGAACTATGTACCTACCACTGCTACTATACCCTTGTGCCAGGGTCCATGTCCCATAGCTTATAAGGGAAGGTGGCTTTGATTTTCATGATTGTGGCTTCAGGTGGATGGGATCAGGGGAGAATAGTGGATCAGATTGTTCTTCAGGATGTAGTAAAAATCGGGTGTTGGTACTTCAAGACAAGGCCAAGGGGAGTTATTGGAAGGATACGCCTTCAAGTTTTTGAGTCTGGAGGTATAAGAATCAGGCCACGACTATTATTATTGACCCAAACTGATTCTAAGATTCCCCAGGGTCACTGTGAGCCTCAGTAAAGGAAGTTTCTTAGGCAGACAAGCAGGTGGAGAATGAGACAATAGATACAATGGATTCAACCATATGACAGGGGGTTTTTAGGCAGGCACCCCAGGTTTCTTATAGAAACAGTTATAGATTATATTTATGGAGAACAAGATAAAAATTTAGTTAATTTTGTGGTTCAGCTCTCTGGGAGCAATATTATACAATTTGGAAAAGATTGACCAAATGCATTATATACAATGAATATGTACACAAGTTTTTGTATCCCTAGATTCATATTTGTGAAAATACAAGGTACAAAAGATAGTCGTTTCAGATGACCAAAAGTGAACAGTGGGGCTTGAGAACCATAAAATAAAATAACATCTTCCGAGATGGGCTTAACAGTTTCCTGGCATTCTGAATGTAAATAGCACAGAAGTAAATAAAATACACTTCTGGCCCCTAAGAAATATGATTAGAATCAGATTAGAAGTCTCACATAGGTGAATAGCCTGCCCATATTATGTGAAGACAGAGACTGGACCAGGTAATTTAAAGGACTGGTATGTGTTCTTGTGAAGAAGGTACCTGGGGTTACTGCCACTTCTCTTATTCAGTGTGGGAAACTTGTGCCCTGGAGTGGGCAGGCAAGGGATGGAACACTGGAGGGTGTAGAATGACTTAGATGGGTATAAGTGATTTGTTGGCACCATTCAAGATGTATGCCCATTTATCAGTTCAATTCTTTTTATTAACTCTCTTTCAAAATCATTTCTTCGAATTTAATCCTGGGAACTTCAAAGTAAGAATGAGACCATCAGAAAGACTGATCAGATGTGTAGTTAGGGATTATTATAAACCACACTCCTCATTACCCCTTTGCTGCCCAGGCACAAGATTGGCCCCAAAGTGTGGAACAGTGCCTTGTGGACTGAAATTCAAAGGTCCAGGGGAGAGGAAGCAAGGTCATTGTAACATGGATTTTTTTTTTTTTTTTATTATGTGGTATATCAGAGAGGCCAAGTTTCTATGGAAATGGAAGTTCCCATTAGCAAATAAATATAGCACTTCCAAGTTAATAATGAAGGCCATGATAATCAGCTATGGTGTGGTGGTGAGATGGCAAAGACAATCTGAAGCAAAGGGAAATCTAGGTTATGATCCTGGGCTCTGCACCCAGGTGCCGGATTTTTCTAAGGGAACACGTAGAGCCCAATGGCTCAGGACATCATGGGATGGTGTGGTGTGAGGAAAATCTGAGGTATCTGTGAGTGCACTAGATAGAATATCAGCCAATAGATGTGAAGAGGATCAGGTTACTAGCAATATGCTTTTCACCTCCATGTACCTGCTACCTGTTGAGAGCCAGCATTCTAGGTCTCAGCTTTGGTTAATTGGCTTTAGGCATCAATCCTGCTAAGCGATCAAGAAGAACAGATTCTCTATGTACCTGCCACAATCCCACCTTATGGAAGCATCTATAGTTGGAATCCACAGGAAATATAACGGTGAGGTTCCTACCTACAACTGTGGGTCAGAATAAGCACTGTTGAATCTCAGGAATGCGAATGATTGCCATTGTAACTTTGAACTTAGAAAATGCAGTTAATCTTTTAAGCCTGTTTCCTTCTATAGTACTTGTTCATGGATGCTGTTAAGTTTAGGTTCTTAAAAAAAAAAAAGCTATATTGAGCATCTACCACAAATCAGACACTGGGCCAGGCTCTATTACCTGTGTTTTTTCATTTACTTCTGGCAACTCTGTAAAGATGGTTCTGTTTTCTTTATTTTGCAAATAGGGGAATGCGTCTCATAGAAGTCAAGGAGCATGTCTAAGTTCATAGAGCTGGCAAACGGGCAGCCTAGATGTGAGCTCTAGCCTTCTGATGTTAACATATTTTGGCGTTGGTAAAAAAATGAAAAACTCTTGGTATGAAAAATAGACTTGCTTCATTAGGAGATAACATAAATAAGTAGCTTTTTGCAGATTCTGGCTATCATCTCTTCTGATATCCTTTGCTTAACTGCTCTGGGACAAGATCTCCTGGAGAAGCAGAATATGAAATGATTTCCACCCACATGCAGAAGGCATATATGAGAGAACAGTCCCGACCTCTGGAAACAAGTTTGATTAGTCCAACAGAAGGAGGATAAGGAGGCTCTAACTATGGGCATACTGGGCATATTTATGGGTTATCTTGAGATGAGGACAATATGCAGACCGAAATATACAGAAGGCAGTTCTCTTGGAGAAGTTTTGCACGGGCAAGTCAGGGCCTCTATACCAGGCAGGCTGCTGGGGCGAGGTTCAGTATAGAAAGACAGAGACCCAGGTTCATTTATAGCCAGATTCCTTTTAACTTGGTCTGTAAATAAAGCGATGGTCTGAATTGGGACATCAGAATAATGCTAGTTTACAACTGCTGAGTCCTCAATTTGGACAATAAATGTATGTGGTCATCTAACATATAAGGCCAGTCATAACCTGGCTCCTACTTACTACTTGAGTCACATTTCTTGCCTTTCTTCCAGCTCTTCTGTGGCTTCAGCCATATTGAGTTATGTTCAGATCTTTGGACCTGTCCTGTATTGTTCAACCTCTGGACGATGAACTTGCTATTCCTTCCTCTAACATCTCTGTCCACCCCCACACACAGTCTTCTTCTTTGCTGGTTTCACTCCTACTTGTTCTTTGTATCAGGCCCTAGCTATCACTTCCTCTAGGAAGTATTTTGTGTCCCACCCTCCCACCCCCAGCTTGGAATAGCTGCTTCCATTTCCCCATGCTCGTATTTATCACAGTTTACTGTAACTTCCTCTTTATTGAACCTTCTTTCATTAGCCTGTAGTTTCCATGAGGCAAAAGATAGTACCTTGTTTATAACTGTATCTCCAGTAAAGATTAGTGTGCCTGGTTCATAGCAGGGCTTCAATAAAACTAAGGCTGAGGCCTTGTTTTCAGAGTTAGGGGTCAAAGTCAGAGACAGACTAGAGGACACAGTAACTGGGGCCAGGATGCAGATGGCTGGCCAAAAGTGGCTTAAATTTCTCCTTTTGGGCCTGTCTCTTATGGCAGAAAGGTAAGCCTTTGGATGGAGATTGAAGGTACCTCACTTGGAGGCTGGGATCCATTGGGGCCTGGTTTCAGAAGGCAGAGAGACAGGGACATTCATCAATGTCAATTTGGCTCCAAATTGGAGAGACGAAACCTCAGAAGATGCATTCCCTCCCCTGAATGCAATGGGACCTAGCTTTAGGCTTGCTCTCCATATGTGAGAGTGAGGAGTGGGGTGAGATGGAACATGCTGTAAAGGAAGGAAACATGGATGGATAACGAGATATTAACAGAACCTCCCTGTCTGGCCTCTAGACCCAGTTCTCAAGCCTCAGCCTCTTATTTCTTGCTATTTTACTCATCCCAACTTCTCCCATCCTTGCACACCAGATCCTGTCCACAAACCGTTCTGCCTTCAGAATCAGCTTTCAACCTGGCTCTTCTAGCAGATGCTCCTAGTTTAATTCTTCCTTGCCTTTGCAACATCAATCCTTGCCTTCTAAGGTTTCATTGTAAGCATCGTCATTCCTCAGGCTGATCCAGGATCCACTTTCTAACAATGGACCTCACAGGCAATTGGCCTCTTTTCCTCTTTAGCTAGCCAATGAACAGCATCAGGGCTCTTAGATCCCTATCCGGCCGTGCCTCATGCTAGTTCTTCAGTGGGGGCTGGATCAGCCTCCAGCTAGGATTTTTATATTGTACTCCAAAGTTTTTATTTTAACCAATATGTACCTTATAGTATCAAGAAATGATGTGGAAAGGTGAGAGTGATCTCAGCCTAAGTGAGATCAAGAGAATAGGGTGAAGAGCTCTGCCTGCCCTTTACTGACTAGTCACTTCTGCCACAAATATTTATGGAGAACCTATAAGCTGTCAGTTTATTGGTCCATGGAAAAAATTACTTAGAGTAAAAAATAGCAAGAAAGACATAAACAATATTTAAAAATTAGTTACCTTTTATGCCAATTTAAATATTTTTCTATCTTCTCTAGAATCTAAAAATTCGAATACCTTGGCGGATGTTGCTGAGACCAGTGTGAGAGCCTCACGTAATCACTAATTTTTAAAGCAGAGAAATACCTATCATCTTGTTCAGAGCTTCTTTTGACTCTGTGGGTTATAAACCTGCACAAGTCCAAGTGCCAATTTCATTCTCTAACAGCTTCAGTAAAATTGGTAGCTTTGGTTTCTTTTCAGGAGAAAAGAAACAGCTCAGTAGTGGGTGAAGAAATGGAAGAATTACTTGGTTTCTGCTTTTGAAGTTTAATAAACTCTCTTGTAACATAGATACAGAGGGACAAGTTTACTGACTTGCCTATCATATGTAGGGGTATTTTGGAAGCTTTTGAATTCCAGATCTCGATCTGAGATTTCTGGCAGTCAGTAAGTGTACTGTTTGGAATCTTTATGCAAGGCTGGATTTCAATGACATCCTTAAGCAGGCCTCAGAATCTCCCCTGGAGCTGTACTCACTACCCCTGGGGAGCCTGAGACACATACCTCCAAAATCTATCAAACATGTATCATATTTTGCCGATCAAACATTTTTCAAACACTCAAGTCCCTCAGGGGCTTCTCCTGGGATGCTTACACCTTCTGGTACTAGCAGGTATTGGGCCTAGAGTCCAGGTTATGTGTTGATAGTGCATGGTCCTCCAGAGAAAATATGGGCTTAATTTAAAAAAACTGTATTAAGTAGTGACAGTTCTGGTATTATTCAGGCTATAGAGAAATCTTCGACAATAGAACTTTCTGGACAAGGAGACCTTCCTACTCCATCACTTGCATTGATAGCCTCTAGCAACACCAGGGCCCTGGGCCACTTTGAACCCCCTCTGGGGTGATTCTGACGCCCCTCAGGTTGTGAGCCCACTGTTTGATAATCACTACAGGGATTAGGGCTCTGGAGTATGGAACAGCACAGATACTTAAATCGGCCACGTATCTTAGAGTTGTTTCTCCACCCAGCTTAGACAGAAGTTTCCCAGACAGATGATGTCAGTGCAACTGGAGAGGAGACTTGTTAAAATATGTGCTCTCCCTGGCTGAGAAAACTTTTCCAAGAACCCTCAAGAACTGAGGGTGGGAATGTAGATGGGGGCAGTCATACTGGAGAGCAATTAGGCAGTACTTGGTGAAATTAAGTGTGCTTACACCCTATGACCCAGCCAAACTTCTCTGGAGTCTACACCCCAGAAAAACTCAGGCACAGGTCCATTAAGGGATATGTACAAGGGTATTCATTGCAGCACTAGGCATAGAAATTATAATGATGATGATGATGATGATGATGATGGCTAACACTTGTTGGATGCTTACATGTGTCAAGTACTTAACATGTTCTCAGCACTCTATAGGAAGTAGGTATCATTACTATCTCTGTTTCAGAAATGAGAACACTGAGGAATGGGGAACTTGAGTAAATGAGCTAAGTTCACATAGTTGTGAATGAGATTGATGCTAGACAGTCTGGCTTCTGAACATGTACTCCTAACCATTATGCTTTATGGTCTACTTCCATGTACATCACTGGAGAATAAATAGGTCAATGTGGAATATTGTTCACTGAGCACATGGATAAATCTTAAAAGCATAGAGCTGAGTGAAAAAGAAGAAAAAGAATTTCATAGCCCACTATTATTTATATATATGTAAAAGTATACGAAGACAATATAACATCATAAAATTTCAAATATACATACACATCCAAGTACACATTAGTGAGTATTTGGGGTGAGGACAAGTAGGAGCCAAGAATGAAGAGGAAATGTATAAAATCAAATAAAACAAAGGCAAACAAAACAAGAAAGGGCCATACCTGGAATGATGATTGGGTGCCATGAGCTGAAGAGGTGCTTGACTCCACTCTCTCCTTTGGAGGTTCATATTTCCCCACCACAATCCCCTTCATGAAACTTCATCCCATCTTTCGGAAGAATAAGAGAATCAAGTTCATTCTCATTCTCTTCCTCAGGGCTCCATCTGGTGAGCAGCAGAGCCCTGCAATATGTATATGTTCTACCTGGTGTTTTACTCCACCTTAAGGTGTAAGTTTATTTCCTCCCATTTTATAGATGAAAAATGAAGCTGTTCAGAGAGATAATGACCTTGTAGGTTAACCGCAAAAGTGGCACTTGATCCAGGTCCCTAGCATGGAGGATCAGCCTTGTGGTTTATAGAATACCAGCTGTAATGATCCTGGTAACCACCAATTTCCTCTGTAGAAACAGTCATCTTTTCCAAGAATCAGAGGAATTTTTACAGTATGGTTTGATGAAGATCTCCAAGCAACAACTATACATTTAGGGATGCCAATAAAATTATTTTAATAAAAATTTCCCTAAGGTTATATAAGAATAGGGCATTATTGCAAGGCTTTTGAGAGAATTATTTATTTACATTTCATGTATCTATAGTAGTGGCTGATCTTAAGACTCAGCCTTGTTAGGACAGGCCCACAGCTCCATAGCATGCTTGTCTCTTTATGAGCATCTCTCTGTCCATTCTTGCTGGAGAGTCTAAAAATGTGAGTTCCAGCATTTCTAAATGAGTTGAGTATGGGCATAGCTCACATTACTGCATATCATTGTTTCCTGCACAGATGGAGAATTAATTCATAGTTTACACTGTAATCAGACAGACTTCAGGGAATGATTCAACAAGATGTTATTTGGCAAATACACAATGACTATAAAATGCAGTTACCTCATTTGTGCTCTTTGAGTCAGGTTGGCATAAGAATTTGGCTTCTTTCAACTCTTGGAGGTTTTATCCTCACAACACTAACACTGACAGAGATACAGCTCTGACTGGGGGACAAACTGGCCATGAAACTAATAAGACAAAGGTCTGGGGGGGACAAACATACAGGATTGTGCAGGTCAAACTGTGATCGCTGATTAAAGCAGAGCTCTTTATAAATTATGTACTTGCTCTTCCCTCTTAAAATTTTATTTATTTGGGTTGACTGTCTTTTCCTTATTGAGATGGATGATGCTTAAAATGCTTTTTATCTAAATCCTTTATTGGATTCATGAGTTGTAAATATCTTTTACCATTCCAGGGCTTGTCTTTTCATGCTTCTAATAATATCTTTTTTTGAGCAATTCTTAAATTTAATGAAGCCTAATCAATCTTTTCCTATAAAAGTCAGTTATTTTTGTAATCCGGTTAAGAAATCTTTGCCTACCTGATACCAATAATTTAAAGTTAGTAAATTCCATCAACCCATACCTCAGTGTTAGAAACTAAAAACTAATAAGAACTTGGCATATTAACAATTCTGGTGCACAATTTGACAAGCCAAATCATTTGTGTTATCCTTCTAAATGGTATAAGTTCTGTCCCTTGAGTCATGTTCTCGCCTTCTCCACTCCCCTAAATCTCAGACCCAGATTTAAACACTTGCTTCCTGTTTCTTCTATTTCAAACGTTCATGAGGTTCTTCTTTGTACAAAAATTATTAATATTTACTAAAATCATTAATATTTACTAAAAGCTTACTATGTGGCAGGCACATAAGTAAGTGCTTTCTGAGTACATTTTCATTTAATCTCATGAAAACTCATCAGATGCCTACTAACACATTTTCAGGTGAAAAAAAACTGGGAGGTCATGGTCTCTAATAGAAAGCTACAGAGCCAAGACCTCAAACTGAGGTCTGCATGATCCAAAGTTGGTGCCGCGTGCCTTCATATCATGCTGCCCCTCCTAGCCTTTAGACTAGATTTTTAGTCCTGATAGGGGTCCCAGATCTTCTATCTAGGACATAAAGGGCATTTAGAATTACTTTTTACCTAAGAATAAATTTAACCAAAGAGATATAAGATCTGAAAACTATAAGACACTGAAGAAAGAAATTGAAGAATGTACAAATAAATGGAAGGATATACCATGCTCATGGATTAGGATTAATGTTGTTAAAATGTCCTTACTACCTAAAGCAATCTCCAGATTCAATGCAATCCCTATTAAAATGCCATTGTCATTCTTCACTGAACTAGAAACAACTAATCCTAAAATTTATATGGAATCACAAAAGACCCTGAATAACCAAAGGAATCTTGAGAAAAAGTAGGTAAGCAGTATCAGTCTCCCCAATTTCAAACTATACTACAAAGTTGTCATAATTAAAACAGCATGGTACTGGCATAAAAACAGATATATAGATAAATGGCACAGATTAGAGAGCCCAGAAGAATTGTTTTTTGATTGACCAGTTAAACTTCTGAGCAAGAATTTCAAAAGCCTCCAGTCCAAGAGGAGCCCCTCTTTTTCACTTTAACCCATGGTGGAGGTGATCAGATCCTTCTCTTTGCATGATCCTCATAACTTTGACATACGCCATTTTCCTTCCTCTTGCCTCACTGCCTTCTACCTGTTAGGTTCACTGAAGCTGCTTTCTTCGTGGATACAGCTCCCTGCATAGTGTAGGTAGGCAATGAGCGAGTCCTGTATGTGGCTCCAGAGAAAAGTGCAGAAGTCCTCATGAGTTAAACCTTGCAGAGAAATGCAAACAGGGGCTCCAAGAGAGCATGGGAAGGCTCCCAGAGGTGACTTGGGAAACTAGGCTGTGAGATGAGGGGACACTCTTTTAAAATGATCTGTCATTACATTAAAGCATTTCTATTGCTGCTGCACCAAGAGAGGTACAAAATTTTCATTCCTGGCTTCTTGCAATCCAATCCAGACCAAGACATGTATGTAATCAGAATGCTCCCAAGAAAACTAACCTCATGTTTGTCCTGTACTTTCCACTTTAGTATACTTTAATGTCATGACCTCATGTGATCCTTAGAAAGATCCATGTGAGGTCAAGAAAACAGGTGCAGAGGGGTCCATTTCGTAGTTGTACAAGCTGATGTTTAGTGAGGCCAAATAACTTGCCTAAGACAGTTCAGGTAAATGGCAGCAGGCCCAGGACCAAAATTTCAGTCTCCACATTTCTAGTTCAGTGTTTTTCTAATGGATCTTGCTACCTATATAACAAGGATCAGTACTGTTTAAATTAATGCATCCCGATCGCTGTTTAAGTGCCAGGCATTTTGCTATAAGTTTAGGGGATATAGAGAGACTATTGTTCTCAGTGAAAAGTATAGTGGAGAAGATAGGAATATTTAAAACCTTTATTGAAATGTAACATATATAGAGAGAAAAGCACACAAATCACAAATATTCAGCACAAAGTGAACACACCCATGAAATCACCACCCAGATCAAGAATTAGAACAGTATTGTCACTCCAACAGCCCTATTCATGTTAGGGGTGCTAACAGTTAAGTATGCTAAGGCAGACCAAAATTATGATCAAGAGTTGTAGAAATTAAATTATCAGAGGGCAATGAAGGCAGAAAAGGTCATCGAAGGAGGTTTTCTGGATGGGGTGAACTGAACTGCAGTCTAGTGCAAGTAATTGTCACAGGAAAGTGTCAAAGGGTTGGGAAGGAAGGGAGCAGGTGGGAGGCTGCCCAATAGCCTCATAGGAAGAGCCTCATAGGGGGCTGGAGAAGAACTGGGCAGCCCACACCCCAATGAGGGCCTGGGCATCCCCAGCAGCTGAGGAGACCAAGGGTCTGCTGCAACCTCTTACCCATACTTCTCCTGGGTATGGTGGCAGTGTCTCCATGGATGAATACTTTTTAGTTCCCCTCTCTCCCAACACTGCCAACTTCATTACTGCACACTCTTGCAGAGTTTCTATGTTGGTAAGAAAAGTGAGAAAATGTCAAGTATACTCAAGTGAGGGAAGTTAGAAGAGAAACTTGTGGCTTTAGCTCGGCTGCTTAGACTGCAGCTTTCTTAAGGTACTACCTGAGGTCAAACACTGGGTGAAGAAACCACACGCATACACACTCCTTGCACAATTTAGAAAGAACCAAGCGGTGGATGTGGTTTAACTGGACACTTCCTTAGGAAAGACTGTTGCAGTGTTTGTAGAATAAGTGATATAAGTGACTAAGAACATAAAACTTCAGGTTTCCTCATGCTTGAATTATAACTGCTTATTATGTAACCTAAAACTGAGGGCTCTGTCTATGTATGTTATTATTAATGTAAATATTCAAAGCAGGAACTCTAAAATAGGAAGCTATGTAGAAAAACAGGTGCGTTGATTACCCCTTCATTAACTGTTTACATCCAACCCAGGGAAGAAACAGAAGTCTAGTTGTTCTTGATTTTATTCCTGTGGACATCCACCTGGACTGAAATTTTCCAAGACTCCTTCAGATCAAGGGTGGAGTTCATGGCATTTACACCACAGGCAGCAGATGAGGAGATTTTAGGCATTTAGGAAAAGTGATGTTAGAAAAATGATGTAGGAGAGTAATGTAGAAAAACGTGTATGTAGGGTGTGGTATGGGTGAGCTGTGTGTGCAAGTTTGGCAGAACTGCAAAGAACCAGTCTATTTTTAGTGCCCGCCCAGTCCATCTGCACTTCCCCATCACTACCCTATCTTTCCAGCCCGCCTCTTTCAAGCCACTAGTATCACCCCACTGTCATCCTGGGCCAGGTTCCTATCACAAAGGTTTTTAAACATTTCTAATTGTGACCATGGAAAAAATGTTTTGCTTACAAAGAAACACATGCACATGTTTTAAAAAGTTTGTGAAATAAATCTACCTATCCCATCTATTTTATATTTTGATATTTTCTATTTTATTCTATTCTTTCATTTTTATGAAATGCCAAACTCCACCCCCCAAACTACTTTTCATAACCCATGGCTTTTCATGAAGTATTACTTTATCTCATCCCAGGAAAGGTATTGATAAGTAAGGTAAAATTTTATTTTGCTTTGCTTTGGTGTTTGGTAAGCATTAAGTTTTCACCACTGCTTGGGCTTTTCACATTTTAACCATGAGCTTCATAAGGCCTTCTCAGCAGCCTGCATAAAGGCCTTATTCTCTCCCATCTAGGAGGGTGGTCCCAGGACTCTTGGGTGCTGCCCTGCAAGTTATGTGAGAGGGACTTGCAGGAGTGGTGGGTTCTCTTCCAAAGCATAGATAAGTCAGGCAAGAGGGTGAAATGGATAGGAGATGCAGTAGATTTTCCAACATTTGAATTCTGAATTACTTTACCATATAGAGATAATACTACAGTAAGTCCTTTGAAACACAGCATCAGTATGATTGATCATTGTAAGTTTAGCCTTCGTTTACTTCAAGCACAAAGAAGGAAGGCTTGTGGGCTCAAGTTCATGGGTTGCCCGCCTTCTTTCTAGATGGAGAGTGAGACAGCACTGGTGTGGCTGAGGCTGGTTGTCAGAGGTTAAAAGGACAGCTTAAAGGATTGATAGAGAGCTTCTGGAGGAGGAAGAGAAGAGTGACAATGAGAGGAGTCATAGCGATAGCTCAAAATAAGGCTATAATGGGAG